TATACATTCGCCATCGACCTAATTAATAAAACATCAACTTAATTTAGATTCGTACGGCAATATTATTGTTTATTTAATTTTGTATAACTTTCAGTTCATATTTTGTTCTATTCTTGATAGTTTTGTTTAAAAAATCAGTAGATTTCTTGCTACTATTGGAAACCTCTTCACACAGCAGCATTTAATATACCAACTGACACTCCAAAAATTACCACTAGAAATATTATTAAAATTAATAATAAAATATGATTTTTTTATCATTGGCAGTCTCTATTTTATTCCACAACCTTATTTGAAGAGTAGGTTTCGGTGACCGTTTACCATATTCATCTCTATAAATATAACACATCAAATAGGATACATTAATAAATTGATTAATGACATTAACAATTCATGTACTACATATGTATTATTGTTAATGACATAATTAATTTATTAACGTATCCTTAATACGTTATGATACTCTTCTATTAAAGTTGTAGAATAAAATAGAGACTGTCAATGGTAAAAAAAATCCTGATCTTATAAGAACATAAACAAAAATCTAAAATTACCTAATAATAAAATATAATGAAATTGGAGTTATTTTGTCAACTGAAATGCTCGTATAAGAAATATTTTATTTATAATGATATACTCATAATGTATGTCATCTACATACATTATATTAGTTATAATATTAATAATTTCCTAGTGGATATAATAAGAAATGTCATCATCATGGCTCTACACCCTAGTCCTGGACTTCTCCAGCAGTTTTCCCTAATTGTCCAGGTCCTGTGCAGACTTATTTCGTGAATAACCTTCGCATCTTCAATTACACCGTCAAACATTGTATAAAAAATATAAATACAAAATAATATAAAGAAATATTAAATTATAATTTACCTGGCTCGTACATCCGACACTGATCCTGGTATGAACAACTCTTCGTTGACGTTGTACATGTCCACCTGCGCACCTTCAAGAGCTGCTACAGCCCTGTTTAGCCTTACGATCCCGTGACCTGAAATCCAATATCATACATTGGGGTCAAGTACAATGCAATTATTTAAGTAATTACATATAATACATTATATATAAATATATATATATTTTTAAAACTTTTATTATGATATTTACAACTGTATTAGTATAAATACATCAAGTAAATTTGATAACAGAAAATAAAAACATGAAATGACTTGTTGAGAAACTACCCACTGGTAGCACTCTAATAATTTGTCTACATGAGAAGATCACGAGACGCCTTCTTTTCAGACGCCTCGGAGGGTTATCAGGAATCGAAGAGGAAGCAAGGTTAGAAACAAGAGGATTCGGATGGTTATGAAGTTTATTATGGAAGGATAGGTATCTGGATTTGGCCAAATCGGAAACATATGGTACATTGAGGTCTTTATGGATTATTTTATTAGTGACAAAGTAAGGAGCATTGAGGATTTTACGAAGGATTTTGGATTGTAAGGATTGGATGCGAGAGGAATTCGATGGTTTAGTGGAGCCCCATAGCTCAACTCCGTAAGTCCAAATAGGTCTTATTATAGTCAAGTATATGAGTATTTTGTAATTAAGGGGAAGTTTAGAGCGTTTGTCTAGTAAGTGTTGGAGTAGTCGGAAACGTCGAGCGGTTTCTTGTCGTTTCAGTCTGGTATGAGGATTCCAAGTTAGACGATTGTCCAAGTGAAGTCCAAGGTATCGGATTTGTTCAACAGGGATAAGTGGGGTATTATTAAAGGATACTGTGGGACATGAGGTCATAGGTTTACGTCGAAGGGTAAAGGTGATTTGATGAGATTTATTAGAATTTATTTTAATCCTTCAGTTTTGACACCACTCTTCAAGGCTTGTGATATGTGATTGAAGAGTTTGGGATGCAATGGTTGCGTCATTATTAACGGATAGGACACATGTATCATCGGCATAAGTGGTAATAACAGTGTTAGGATGGGTTGGGATGTCAGCTGTATAAACTGTGTAAAGGATAGGACCAAGGATACTACCTTGAGGAATATTTAAATATAAACACCAATATTAGTAGTGTTGCCCATATTATTAGTGTTGCAAAATGCAAGACCAAGGCCCCCTAACTGTTCCAAGACCAAGACCAGGACTGGTAAAAAAAATCGATTTTTTAAATAAAAATTAAGGCAAAATAGCTACTAATACTTGACAATCTTAGTTACTATAAGCTAATGATTGGTATAACTAATATACTTTTGCATTTAACTCCTCTAATTTTTTTAAAGGTTTCTTCTATCTAAAAAAAAACAGTAATATCTCTATAGTAATAAGCTAATAAATAACTGCAAGAGTGTGGCGAGATTCTGACCAAGACTTAGTTTGCAAGATCAAGACTCGTCTCGGTCTCACATTTGGACAACATTAAATATTAGTAATCTGAATTTCGATAGTTTTATAGAACATTTCATTAATCCGAACTTCTCTGTTTTACAAGTCAAATTTGGCTCTTTTCTGGGGTGGTCAGAAGGGTGTTTCATTAAAATTATTGAGAGAGGCGCATTTCATCAAGCTTAGAATAAATTCTCTTAGCAAGATTATGTAACAGGCATACATTGAACGCTGATGACATTGTTTCAATTGCTGATTCAAAGATAATACTAAAGCACTGGTGGAATGGGAAGAAGAACTGCTGAGGAAGGGAATGAAAATTAATGCCTTCAAGAGCAAAGGGCTGATTACGGAAAGAGAAGAACAGCAAGGCAGGGAGGTTCTTGAAGTGATGAATGGATGCAGCTACTTGGAGACCATAATTATGAAGTAGCTCTGGCAAGATAGACGCTGAGATCTCGAACAGAATATCCAAGGCAAATCAGACATACTGCCAGATCATTAACACTGTAATCGGCCATCGTGAAGTGGATAAGAAGACCAAGACTCACAATTATAAATCTGCCTATACTCATCTAGTTTGGAGAAAGCTGGACCACCTTAGTTAGATGTTAAATTCGCATAACGGTAGCAGAAATGAAGTTTCTACAAAGATCTATTGAAAATACTAGGAGGGATCGCATTAGAAACGAAAGTAGAAGTACCTGAGCTCAAAGCCACATTGAAGAGCCGTATTAACGGGGACATGGATCCTACAACAGTATAAGAGCCTCGACCCATTGGGAAGATACCACGAGGGCGTCCCAGAGTTTCATACCTGGAATTCGTGAAGGAGATTTGAAATAGAAGAAGCAAATATTCAATCAAAAGAAGAAGAAGAAGCGTATGAAGCACACTTATTTACTGAAAGTATTTTACTTATCAACCTGTAGCAACTGTAAGGTTTCCCTCAACATGGAGCAAAATCTATTGGACTATGAGGCCCATAAAGCCAGCCACAAGACAATATTACGACCTAGTCGAAAGATGGGATATTGCACTAGGCGCCATGTCGCATGTGCACTGTCGTGACAGTGAAATTAATGTTGGGAAAAGATTAAAGTTTTTAAAAATATGTGGAGTCTATCATCTAATTTTGTAAATTAAAGAACTTAGTAAGTAAAACTAAAACTCAAAGCTGTGATAACATTGAAATATGTATTATAATAAAATTATATGAAATGTTAATATTATATGTTGTGTACAATATTCTAGAATTATATTTTTTTTTTGCACCTGTCATGGTAATGACAATCAGCAGATGTGTTGATGAGGATTATATTAAAACGGAGTTTTTCTAAAATACTAATGACTCTAGGGATAGATGCATTAACAAACAAATAAAATTAAACTGTATACTGGATATGGTTTGATATTCATCAATATAATAATTATTTATTTATTTATTTGGTATTTTGTTGCCTCTACCCTGTAGTGTCATTGGCAACGCCTTTAAATTACACTCTGTTGCAGAGTTTTATCACTTTCGTTAACGATTTCGTCAGGATCAGTTATAAAGTCTTGTCCACTCTTTATACCAGGCAATTTCTTTGTTTTGGAGATCCCCTTAATGCTTTTCACTTTATTCCAGAGCTCCTTCATTGAAATGCTTTGATTTAATGAAGATACGAAGTCTTCCCATGACCATCTTTTGCTTTTCAGTATATATAGTAATCTTTGTATCTCACTGTTTGATTTTCTTGTAAGTGTGTTTCTTGGAGACAAACTAGTATAGGGTTCTCTTCGCTTATTGTCACTTTTAGGTGCTCTAAATGTCGGAAAAATCTGTTACAATTCCATTGAATGATTGAATATAATAATTAATAAATGTGAGAATATGAAATAAGAATTTTCTTGGTTGTGTTCATTTTTCATATTAACTTTTAAACCTAATGAAACTGAAATATATTTAAAAAACAATCTTGAACTAATGAAAGGATGGAATATAATTCGAATAGTTAAAGAAATTATATATTAACCTTTTCAAGATGATTAAACATTATCACAATAATAATAATGTTAATAAATGTATTATAACTTTAATAATGGCGATTTAGTAACTTACTCAGAGCCGGGGCAGGGGGCGCTCTTTCTTCTTGCCAAATGTCCTTTTCCAATTTCAAGAACATGTCCAATATGTCCGCCCCTTCTTCTGTTGATACTTGGTCCTGAATAAAAATGCTCGATATTTACAACTTATGTATCCTTAGTCTATTTTCAACAGTTTAGACAAAAACAAAAAAAATATTTTGGTTTGCTTCAGTAGTTTATCATGAAGGTGCACGGGCGGATCTACGGGAGGGGCTTTCGGGCTGAAGCCCCCCTTATGAAAAAAAATTTTGGGTTTTTGTGTTAATGGGGGGTGGGTGTTTTTTTGGGTTTTTGTAAGAGGTTTGGTGGTGGGGAGGGGTTGGTATGGGTTTTGGTAGGTTGGGTTGTTGAGGTTTTTAATGGGATGTGTGGTGTGTGGTGGAGGGAGGGGGGGGAATTTGGGTTGGTGAGTGTGGGGTGGTTGTTTTTTGAGGGAGGGAGGTTGGAAAAAATTTTGGTTTGGAGGTGAAGAAGTGGGGGGTGGTGGTGGGGGGTGTGTTTGGAGTATTTTGTAGATAGGGTTAGTTTTGGGGTTTGTTGATTGGGTTAGGGTTGGTTTGGGGGGGTGGGTGTGTGGGGTGGTGGTGGGTGGTGTGTTGGGGTGGTGTGTGGTGTGGGTGGTGGTGGGTGGGTGTGGGGGTGGTGGTGTGGGTGGTGGGGGGTGGGTGGGTGTTGGTGGGGTTGGGTGGGTGTGGGGTGTGTGGGGTGTGTGTGGGTGGTGGGTGGGGTTGTGGTGTTGGGTGTGGGTGTTGTGGTGGGGGGTGTGGTGTGGGTGGTGTGGTGGTGGGGTGTTGGTGGTGTGGGGGTTGTGGGTGTGTGGGTGGGGTGGTGTGGTGGGTGTGGTGGTGTGGGGTGTGTTGTGGTGGGTGGTGGGGGTGTGGGTGGTGGGGTGGTGTGGGTGTGGTTGTGGGTGGGTGGTGTGGGTGGGTGTGTGGGTGTGGTGGGTGTGGTGTGGGTGGTGGGTTGGGTGGGTGGTGTGGGTGTGTGGGGTGTGTGGTGGTGGGTGTGTGGGTGTGGGTGGTTGTGGGTGTGGTGGGTTGGTGGGTGGTGTGGTGTGGGGGTGGTGTGGGGTGGTGTGGGGGGTGTGGTGGGGTGGGTGGTGGGGGGGTGTGGTGGGTTGGGTGGGTGGGGTGGGGTGGTGGGGTGGGGGTGGGTTGGTGGGTGGGGTGGGGGTGGGTGGTGGGTTGTGGGTGGGTGGTGGGTGGGGTGGGGTGGTGGTTGGGGGGGGTGGGGGTGGGTGGTTGTGGTGTGGTGGGGGGTGGTGGTGGGTGGGTGTGGTGGGGTGTGGTGTGGGGTGTGGTGGGGGTGTGGTTGGGGGTGGTGGTGTGTTGTGTGTGGGGGGGGGGTGGTGGGGTCTTTAAGTCTAGTATGAGGGTTCCACGTTAGTCGTCTGTCTAAGAGAAAGCCAAGGTACTGGACTGTGTCTGAGAAAGGTACCTGGATGGAATTAAAGTGTACTGAGTACTCAATTAAATAGATAAAGTTTGGCAATCTTCAGATTGAAAACAGCCAATGCCAATAATTTTCGTAAATAAAAAAGTTGTTGGTTAGGAAGTTTCAGACGGATGTTAACAATTTGATAAAAAACGGTTTTTACTTTGGACAATATATATGAATGAAGTTCAGAATTAGTTGTATTTATTGAGCAGTTTTTTTTTATAGCTATAAATAATTTTGTAGATAAATATAATAGAATTAAATTTACTTTTGTATAGCGTTGGCGATTGATCAACGTCAAAGGTCACGAAAATTATTAAACAAACAATGGAGAAGCATAGCGTGACTTATGCATTTAGTAAACTATTTTTCGACCTTCAATGGTTGTTTACATTCTGTTATCATCAATGAAGCAAATATTTTCGGAACCTTTCAGGTCATTCACATGACAAATAATACTATTAAATAAAAGTATACTAGCTGTTTATTTACTCACATTAGCTGTTTATTTACTAACATAGTTTCTTTTTTAGGTCATAATGTAACTTATGAAACAGCGCTTTATTCCATACAGCAAACTTCTTATTTTATTAAAAAATATGTCGTGTACACTCACAGAGCTTTACAACCGAAATGGCAAAAATATTGATTAAGAACAATTTTCCAGAAAAATAATAAGAGAACGATTTATTTGATGGACTAAAGCAATGTAAACGAACTCGCGAGCCATCATTTAAATCATTTTATAAAATTAAATAAACAGTAACTTTACTAAGCTAAAGATCTAATTTAAACAACTTCGTTTTTTTTTGGTTTTGTAGAAGACTTAATAATCTTTCATGAAATTGGAAGAATTTTTTTTCGGAATTAATTAAGCCGAAAACATTTTTCTATTATTTATGACCTTTTCGTTGAATTTTCTAGAGGATTCACTACATTTACAAAAATTGAAGACTTTAAGTAGCAATGTATGGGAAAAAGTGCTATAAAATCGTTAGAGACGTTTTTTTTTATCTATTGCCTATGGAAAAATTTGTTTTTCTTATATTGCACAGGAAATGTCCATTCCGTTTCACAGCCATCGGCAGTTAAAATCATACAAAACAAACACAGAAGCAACAAAATCGGTCAATTCGCTTCCGAGATAATCTTGACATTGATGACATATATCGCCATAATATCCCCACCCACCCCCACCCCTATGCGCCTAACGGTGGAACGATTCCCATTTTACAAATTATACAAATGAAAAAGGTGAATGAAAGACAGAAATTGTTAGAGAAAAGAATAGTTGAAAATTTGCATCCTGAACAATTAGAAAAAATCTTATCTGGGTGATGGGATTAAAGCGCAGTATCCGGAAACCCGTAAGGCGGCGCTGTTTAATATCTCAAATTTCTATGTCATACTTTTCCGAATCTTAACTGCTCCTTTATTAAACTGACACTCAATATGATATAGCTAGAGGGATTAGAAAAAAACAGATTGGATTGGACGGACATATTTTTGGTATGAGAACAACCTTAGAGCGGTACCTATTCAGTGAATAATGATCAGATCCTTGTGAAAAGAGAAAATTTCACTAAAATTAATCATTAACAATTAGAAGCTCTTCAACATGTTTGAATAATCATAGAAGAGCTATTTTTCTGGTGGCTAATTACCTTATCTGTGAATATTGTGCCAAAGAGATAATAATGATTTTGTGCATTAAATTGTTAACTATAACAATATCAAGGCTAAATGTAATGAATGGTTGTAGGTGCCTGTTGATATCGATTTCGTTCATGATTGGTTCAGTCTAAACAGGTAAATATTTTCTCCGTAGAATGGCATCGCGTGTCAGCTTTCCTGACATTTCAATAGAGCAATCTTCATCATCGAAAGCTCTCATAATTCTAAGAGATTTTAAAGTAATAACATAGTAGTAGTAACATTTATAGTAAAGTAGTATAGTAACATAGTATAGTAACATTTATCGAATTAAATATATATAGAGATGTGTTTTTGTATGTGGACGCGTGAGTGCAAGTAGATATCGTTCAAATCTGCTATCATTATACTAGGATCAACTCAATTTTTAACTTTTGACCTTCATGGCAAAAGGTTACTGCCTACATGATAATTAAAAACCATATCCCAACTGTTTTTCTATTCCTGCAAGTATAAATTGTTATAATTGAACTTATAAGGACTATTTAATAACATATTTTCACTCATTACCTATAGCTGAAAATAAATTAATCCTCCATTTCTTTACTTATCATTCACCATCTTAAAACAAAATGGCAGGAGTTCAAAAACCTTGATTTTTTTTTTTCACTTTTCATAAAAAATCGCCCAATAAATTTAGATCAAATTTATTATTGTTGTTTTTTTTTAGAGCCGTAAATACTTTTTTAGCAATATACATTTGTTATGGACAATCTTGAGACAGAATAGTTTACTTGCGAATAATTTAATTTATTTTATTTAATGTATAAACAAAAAAACAAAGAAATTAATATCCTTGAATACTGTTATTGAATATTTTTAACCTTCCTAAGCTTCATATAGTTGTTCACGAGATTAAAGTAGAATATGTTCACACCAGCTATTTTTTTAAGAATGTAGTCCTAGAATCTCTATAAAAATTCTCTGGATTTGTGCGTTTTCTCATTAAGTTAATGATTTTAATAAAGTGTTAAAAATTCAGGAATACCCATTTCCTTTCCATATGAATTGTAAGATAATTTAAGCACGAAATGGAGAAAAAAAGTGGCCTACAAAAATATTGGGCAGGTTTGGCCTATATGACCGCATTATTTTGACATTATTGGTGACGAGGTCACGCCAAAAGACCTAATAATTTTTTAGACCAAATTTTTTTGTTATTTTTGTGATCAAATTATCTTTCCATTGAACTGGAAGGCAAATAGGTGCTCATGAGTTTTTAGTACCTAATTAGACAAAGTTTGCCGACCTGCAGATGGAAAACGCCCCCATTCCGAGGATTTTCGTAAATAAAATATTTGTAAGTTACGTTGAGGTGAAGTTATTTACGAAGTTACAGTTGGTTGTTAATGACTTGATAAAAAGGAGTCAGTATGACGGACTGAATCATTCTATTTGTTATAGAGTTGGCGGACCTTTAGTAAATATTGTAGATATTATGATGTCAATATCCGTTTAACATTTAAATTTAGTGTAATTAAAAATAATATAAAGTAATTATTTAGATGTGAGGACCGCACGGATTATGCTTGGTTCACAATCACTTCGGTCACACTTGTTCATGAATCGTCAAAAACAGTCTTTAGGACAAACCCGGATGCATTCGGCACTCCATGCAGTCCTCATCTAAATAATTACCGAATATAATTTATATAATTAGTGATAGGCAGTAATGATATTGAAATGGGATATTATATAAGTTTTAAGATTGATGCGATGTATCAGACTTGTATTTATTATACTATTCTATACACTTTTAAATAAAATCATAAACTTATTGAAATAATATATGTACCTAATACAAATATTGAAGAAGCTATAATAATTTACTTTTTCCATTTTTCTCGGAAGTTGTATGTTATTCTATACAGACATCCAATAATTGGTCTAAAAGCCTGATGTTGCTAGGGATGTTATATACCTTAATTTATTATAACTTGAATTAGAACCTGACGATGGAGTACATTAGATTTAAGCCATGTATCAACAAAAAATCATTGCGATTGTAGTTTTGATAATGGAAATAAATATCCCAAAATGTTAACATGTAATTTGGAAATACAACAAAAAAAGTCAATTGTTGTTTAATTAGAAGTCATCATTGCTAAATAACAAAGTACAATAATTTACTTATGTTGACGCTGCTGCTATGATGAGAAATTCACTGCGATGTATTTTAATGTATAGTCGATAATAATTTAGAAATGGTTGAAAGTAGTTACTAACAACATTATAAATTTCTCAAAAAGATAATATTTAAACGTAGTTTTTTTCGCCCTTTCTTAATCTATTAATGAAACAATTTGGATTTTAATTTGAATAGCAAGATCATAGTACAGAGGAGACTGGACAGATCAAATGTACTGGTTTGATACAGCGTGTAGTGGAGTTGCACAGTACGGCATTGTGCACCTCACCCTGGCTAGAACTGTTTGGTCACGGAGCTGTGTCGCAAACTGTGGTCTACGGTTGCCAATGCTATTCACAGACCAATGCTAGCTGAGCTCTTAGTTTGTAAAGTTAAGGTGGGTTTAGACATTTGGCAAACTATGGGAAACACAAGTATTTAAATGGTTATTTCACTATGATATTAATTTTGTTATTTGTTTTTGGTAATTGCCATCTGTTGTCGCTTTCAAGTGAAATACAATGAACTAGTTGGCCTGTGCGAATCATTCGCAGAAAATTTTCAGTGAAGAAATAGCAAAACAATATGGAAATAAGTAGATCTTATGTATTATGCAAGAAAGGAATTAATATTTTTTCCTTGGTCGATTAAAATATTCCATTAAACATAATAGACCAAAATATTTGAAGAAACTGCTTTGCTGGGATCAATTTTTAAACTCTTACTGGAAAGATAATAAAAGTAATAAAGACAAAATGATGCCCCGGTCATAGGATTTTCTTAATTAACAATAAAATGTAAGAACAAACAAATGCCTTTTAGAAAAAATACAGTTAATATATCAGCCAGGAAAAAAAGTGTAGTAGACTATTCCACTCCTAAATGCAATATCTTTAAACAGGAAGACATTATTAAGTATACCAAAACTAATGTACTGTATGTTTGTTAATAATTGTCCGATTTTTACGATTTTTTTTTGTAGGTAATTTAGTAATCTTTCTAATTATTGAAATGAAATAGATTTTTATTATCCTGGGGCTTTTGCCCCTTTAGTACAAATTATATATACAGAGGAAATGCCTGTGTGGCCATAAAATAAAATAAAATATTTACAATGCTTATTAAAATAAAAATATTGAATGAAAAATAAAACAAAACCACTAAATACATACAGTTATATACAATACAAACATGTAAAAATAAAATAACATAATTAAACAAAACCATTTCTGGGGGAACTTAAAAGGTTCTCTTATCTACTTTTCATGATCAATCGGGTTGGGAAAGAAGTAGGTGCTTAAAAAGGAGGGATTTAAATGAGGAAACTGATTGCGCATGTCGGATATCGGGAGGGATGGTGTTCCAGGTGAAGACGACTTGAATTGTAAAGGATTTGTCAAACGCAGCAGTTCGGTGAGGAGGTGGATAGAGGTCAGAAGTACGGGATCTAGTGGAACGGGATTGAATGGAATATTTAAATTGTAGGCTGTGAAAAATATAGGAAGGTCGCTGAGTTCTGATGGCTTGGCATCGAAAGTTAGCAAGGAAGTCCAGATGGGCGTTGGACGGATAGAGCCACTTCAACTTGGTGTAATACTGGGTTATATGCGTATCTCTTGAGATTCCGAAAACAAAACGTATTGCGCAGTTCATCAGGCGTTTAAGTTTGGCCTCGAATTCTCCTGAGAGTCCGCCGTACACCAGACAGCCACAGACAGTCGAAGTGGGGGAACACAAGGAAGGAAACCAGGAGTTGTCGGGATCGATATGGAAGGAGATAGCGGAGACGGTTAAACTGTTTCAGGGTAGAGATAGTACGGCGGGAAATTTGGGAGATGTGTGGTTTCCAGGAGAGCGTTTGATCAAAGGTTACACCAAGGTTTTTTACGGAAGTATGGTATGAGATAAGTGAGTCAGGAAAAAATTGGGGAGTGTCGGTAAGGATTTGAGGAGTGAGGGAGTTCCGATCAGGATAGCTTTCGTTTTCTCGGAATTTAGAGTGATTTTGTTGTGGTTTGCCCAGGCACATTTTTTTGTAATTTTTGGATGGCGTCAGAGGATTCGATCGGATTGAAGGAGAGGTAAATCTGGACGTCGTCGGCATACAGATGGTATTGACAGTGTAGGATAGAGGATGGAAGGTGATTGATGTAGATGGAAAAAAGGGTGGGAGATAAGGAGGAGCCTTGTGGGACACTTCTGGACAAGGGTAAAGATTCTGATGGGAGGTTATTGGGGACTACAACATATTGGGAGCGGCCGGATTATTATGGGCACAATAAAGAAAAAATGCATGCTTTTTGAGTTATTAAAAATACAAATAAAGTTTATTTTTCTTCATAACTTTTTTCCCCAGAAATTTCGGGGGGATAAGACTATTTTTCGCATGTGAAGGAGAAGAATATCTTCATAATGAGTGGTCAATAATTGGATTTAATGAATAATTGACGAAGTTATGGCCTACCGATAAAAAAATACCTTTTTGAAATAATATGTAGGATATTTTGGCTAACCTTTAATATCACTATTAGCCAAGTTAGATAATTGTGTTTTCCATAGTTTGTAAAATTTCTGAACGCACCTTCAGTTTATAAAATAAACTAGTATACCACAGCGAGAACTTTCATTTATATAGCTGTCCTTTTCACTAATGCATTCGACGTATAGGCGGTAAGAGTGGAGCATGTTAAATCGTATATAAAATCTAATATCAAGATAGTCTGTTCAACACACTTTACTACGACTGTCAAAGTAACACTTTACTTAATAAGTGATTAGCTTCCTATCATAGCAGGTGTGCAGGTCAAGGTTTGTAGTTCTCTCACTTACTAAAAATACTTTTATTACAGAGAACATCTAGTAGTAGTTGTTACTTTCACTTATGTATATATGTAATAATATAGTAGGCGTGAGTATTGCAATCATGACAATTTTTTAATCTGAGTTGTCATCGGAAATACACGTTTTGGGGTACCTTGAGTCCAAATAACCAAGTCCTGAAAAATGGTCTGTGTGTTTGTATGTTAGCAGTCTAGCTCAAAAACGAAAAGTACGAAACTGATATTACGTATTTAAGATAGGTATGTGTCTTAGATATAACAGCAACTTTTCCCTTTAAATTGGCTAACCGGGAGTGCCACTTCATATCAACGGTGAAAAACATTTTTACAATTTTCTCAAAAACAGCTCTAACGATTTTAATTAAACTCGGTGTATCATTGTATAATTAAGTAGTCTTTAATATCATTCAGGTCTTATCCCCGTTGATGTCACTTTGCAGAGTTTAAATGCTCAATGTTCATATGCGTCTTCCTCTAAAGTACCTTTAATATGGTTTATTTTAAATAATTAACTATCTCTCATTATTAAGAGTTTCGAAAAAATGCTAAATATAACTTTTGAAAAAAATTGATAGTTGAATAAAGGATAAAAAAAACAACAACACTTATCCATGTCGAAAATGAATCTCCGGAAATACTAGTCACAAGGATATCGTTGGAAAGCGGAGAATTTTAGAAAACAACAATATCTAATATAGGAAGTTGTAGCAGATGACGGAGAGTGGCAAAAAAAAAAATACAAATAATAATTTTTGAAAACTAACAATATTTAACGTAAATCACATGTTTTCAAGCAAATTAAATTAAATTTACTAACTAAATGTAAACTTAAAATATTGTTAAGTTTGAAAAAAGGTATTTAAAATCCACCTAATCAAGACGATGAAATTGTTTAAAAACATAAAATATAACATTTTTCTATAGTGATCAATTATAGTACTGAACAGTTTATTGAACATAATTTTATGCAATAACATACTTGATTTCATTTTTCGACAGTGTCCATCTTCAATATATCTTCTACGGTAATGTCTTTGAGAACTTCTTTCAAGGTTCAACAAATTTGCTGCAGTGAATTAGAAAATGAGGCATCGGGTTAGTCACAAGGCAGTTATATGATTCAAATACTTAGATTTAATAGTGAGAGAATCATCATTTAAGTATACTTTTACGAACTCATTGCTTGTCACTCTGAGACGACTGACTGCTCTTAGTTAGTTCAAATTTATAGTTTTGAACTGCAGATAGTCTTCTGGACCGATGGTATTAAAGGAGCAGATTTTTATATATCTTGAGTGCTACCATTGGGTAGTTTCTCAACAAGTATTTTCACGTCATTATATCCATATATTCAAATTTACTAAATGGATTTTTTAATATAGTTGTAAATATCATTAAGAAAAAAAAAAAAAAAAAAAAAGTATTTAAAGATCTGTCGATGTCCTTGGGTACGTGATGGTTCCTCATTTTTTCACTGTTCCTAGCCACCCAGTTCCGCCACAGTAATATTTACTAGGGTAACCCAGTTATAAATTGTATCAGGTTTTCCTCAGGATGTATCTACAGCTCTAGGCCAATTAAAGCATTGTCTAGGCTGTCTATCATCACTCATTCAGCTCAGCTAGATTCGATAATTAATTGCTTTTTTTAACACATCGATGCTTAATTGAGATCTTACAGTTTCAAGGCGAGCCACATAGTTCGTTGTTATTACATAGAAACCATAACTTCAAGTATTTAATTGATTTATTAAAATATCTGAAATTTTCTTTATACATTTCCCGAAGTGTCCAAGAAATCTCTCCTCCATCTACGTTTTGATTTATAGATCCTCAAAGATTATCATAAATAGTAATATTTTTACATTTGTTATATTTTACAAGGAAACAGGTATTTTACATACTCCGAGGATTCAATACTAACGAATAAAACTAAATATTTTTGGTACATTACGAAGGAATTATTTCCTTTATGCCTCTATTATATAAAAAAGTTATTAGTGCATGCCATATTTTATTTTTTATTATAGTGTTAGGAGAGTAAGAGGTTACAGGAGCTCTCCTATTAAATTTTTAATTAGCACTAATTGCACAGCTGTTCATTTAATTACATATGTGTTGATCTCCTGTTACTTAATACTTTTGTAATACAAAATATAGATTTTATACTAAATTTTTGTATATTATTCATCTGGAGGTGGTAGTTTGATTTCATCTAGGTGGCAGCAGTTATTTTTCGATCTAGAGATTTCCCTTTAAATACAATATATTAAATACTATATTATGTATTATATTATTTATATTATATTGTGATGAAATAGAAAAGGAATCACAATACAACAAACAATGACAATATTAGGAATAAAAGGCTCAAATTATTGTTATATGAAACTGGACAAATTGAGTATTTATTATGGTTACAAATCGGCAATAAGAAT